CTCTAAGATTATGAAATTATGCTGTTATGTTTTCTTCTGGAAGCTTTATATCTTGAGGTTTCACATTTAGGTCTATGTCCATATTGAGTTAATTTTTTTTTTAAGATTTTATTTATTTATTTGACAGAGAGATCACAAGTAGGCAGAGAGGCAGGCAGAGAGAGGGGGGGGAAGCAGGCTTCCCGCTGAACAGAGAGCTGGATGCAGAGCCCAATGTGGGGCTCAATCCCAAGACCCTGAGATCACCACCTGAGCCGAAGGCAGAGGCTCAACCCACTGAGCCACCCAGGTGCCCCTGTATTGAGCTAATTTCTATAGATGGTGTGTGAAAGGAGAAGCTTTGGGTTTTTTCCACATGCTTATGGCATTATTTAGAACCACTTTTTTTTTTTAAAAGACCCTTTCTATTTCTCCTTTCATCGAATTATTTTAGCAACTTTACAGAGTATCAACTGACCATGCAGGAGGGCTTGTCTTTGTCCATTTGGGCTGCTATAACAGAATATCGTAGACTGGGTGGCTAATAAACAACAGAATTTTATTTCTCAAAGTTCAGAAGGCTTGTAAGCCCAAGATCAAGGTGCTGGCAGATACAGTGTCTGTTAAGAGCCTACTTCTTGGCTCATAGACCTGTAACCTCACATAAGTGGAAGAGATGAAGGAACTCTTTGGGATCTCTTTTCTAAGGACACAAATCCTATTCATGAAGGCTCGACCATCACGACCTAATCAACTTTCAAAGCAACCAACATAAATTTCAAGATAGGAATTTTGAGGGGCATCCGCCTGGCTCAGGTGGTAGAGCATGCAACTCTTGATCTCAGCATTTTGAGTCCAAACCCAACATTGGGTGTAGAAGTTACTTACAAATTTAAAAAATATATGAATTTGGGGGGACAAAAGATTCAGTTTATAGCACAATTTATTTCTCACTATTCTTCTCCATTAATCTATTTGTACATCCTTATTCCAGACCACACTTTTAATTACTGTGGTTTTATAAAACTGGTATTGTGTCTTCATTGGACATTTTATAGAATTCACCAGTGAATCTAAATAGAGATTTTCTTTGAAGGAAGGTTTTATATTACACATTCAATTATTTTCTCCTACCAATATGGAACTATTCAGATTTTCTACCTTTTTTTTTTTCTTTCATCGGTTTGGAAAGTCATGTTTCTAAGAAATTTATGTTTCTTTTGAATTTTTAAATTTACTGCCATGAAGTTTTTCGTACAATTCTTTTTAACATCCTTTTATTTGATAAAAAATCACTGGTGTCTCCCTTTTTATTTTTGCAGTTGGTAATTTATGTTTTTCTAAAATCAGTTTTACTAGGATATAACAACTCTATTAATTTTTTTTAAAGTAAGCTTTATGCCCAATGTGGGGCTTGAACCCATGACCCCAAGATTAAGAGTTGCATACTCCACTGCCTGAGCTAGCCAAGAGCCCCTCTATAACTTTTTTAAAAGGCAGCTTTTTTGTTCGATCATCTGTTTTCTAGTTCACTGATACTTGTCCTTAACTCTATTGTTTCTTTCACTTCTTTTTTCTTTGGATTTCATTTGCTTTTTTTTCCCTAATGTTTTTGAGGTGGAAGTTTAGATAATTGATTTTAGCCCTTTCCTGTTTTATAATATACGCATTTCATATAAACTTTCCCTCTGAGCATTCATTTAGATGCATCTTGCAAATGTGGATGTTGCTTTTTCGTTATTAATTCAGCATATTTAAAATTTTCCATTTTGATTTCTCCTTTTATCAAAAGGTTATTTAGAGGTACATTATTTTATTCTATAATATTGGAGCATTTGCAAAGTTGTGCTTTTATTATTGCTTTCTAGTTTAATTCTATCGTGGTCAGAGAAGGTACTATATGATTTCAACCCTTTGAAATCTGTTGAGATTTGTTTTACTTCCTAGCTTATGGTACATTTTATGACTGTTATGTACATATTTGAAAACTTTGATTCTTCTTACTAATATCTTGAAGATTCAGTATAAAGGTTTTGAACATCTTTTATTAAATACAATGTATTCTGTATTCTGTTTTGTGAGGATACTATTTGGGTCAAATAGATCAATTGTTTTTTATTTTATTTATTTAAAAAAATATTTTTTTATTTAAGTAATCTCTGCCCCCAATGTGGGGCTCAAACTCACAACCCCAAGATCAAGAGTGCCATAGCTCTTTCAACTGAGCCAGCCAGGCACTCCAGTTAATTGTTTCTTAAATTTTTCTGTATCATTACTTATTTTTGTGTCTGCCTGTTCTATCAATTACTAAAAGAGGATTAGGATCTCTAATTATGACTATGCACTTCTTTTGATTCTTTTTCCCAAGCATTCCGCAGCTTATTTTGTGTACACATACTTAAAAGTTTTTTAATTAGTTGATCTGTTTATCTTTATCAAATGTCCCTTTTAATTTCTTTTTTTAAAGATTGATTTATTAGAGAGAGAGAGAGAGAGTGCAGGTAGGGAGGTGCAGAGGGAGAGGGAGAGAGAGTCCTTTAAACAAACTCCTCACTTGAGTGCAGAGCCCAATACAGGGTCCCTGCCAAGCCAAGGTGGGGGGCTGGAGGGGGAGCCCTGGGTAGGGAACTCCATCTCACAACTGTGAAAACAGAACCAGAGCTGAAACCAAGAGTGTGACACTTAACCTACTGCACCACCCAGGAGCCCCTGTCCTTTTTATTTCTGGTGACACTTTGTCTTGAAGTCTTTGATATTAATAGAGTCACTCCAACTTTCTTATGATTATTATGTAAATGGTATATTGTTTTCCATCTTTTTTTATTTTTATTTTTTATTATTTTTTAAGATTTTATTTATTTATTTGACAGACAGAGATCACAAGTAGGCAAAGAGGGAGGCAGAGAGAGAGGACGAAGCAGGCTTCCTGCTGAGCAGACAGCCCGATGCAGGGCTCTATCCCAGGATCCTGGGATCATGACCTGAGCCGAAGGCAGAGGCTCTAACCCACTGAGCCACACAGGCACCCCTCCATCTTTTTTTTTTTAAAGATTTTATTTATTTATTTGACAGACAGAGATCATAAGTAGGCAGAGAGAGAGAGAGAGAGAGAAGGAGGAGGAAGCAGGCTCCCTGCCGAGCAGAGAGCCCAATGGGGTACTCGATTCCAGGACCCTGAGATCATGACCTGAGCTGAAGGCAGAGGCTTAACCCAATGAGCCACCCAGGTGCCCCTGTTTTCCATCTTTTTAATGTCAATTTCTTTGTGTCCTTATAAAGCATCTCTCTCTTTTTTTTTAAGATTTTATTTGACTTTTTGAGAGAGAGCACGATGAGTGAGGCCAGGGGCAGAGGGAGATGGAGAAGGAGAAGCAGACCCCGCTGAGCGGGAGTCCAGTTAAGGCTGGATCCCAGGACCTGGGGATCACCACCTGAGCCGAAGGCAGACCCTTACCTGCTTAACCTACAGAATCTCCCCAACCCCATCCGCACCTCAAAAGTATGTCTCTTTTAAATAGCATATAATTGGGATTTGTTTTATTCAACGTGACAATTTATTTTTAATTGGAATGTTTAGTCTATGTATATTTAATATAATTGCTAATATGGTTGGATTTAAACCTAACAGCTTGCTATTTGTTACTGCTTATCCTATGTGCTTTTTGCTTCTTTGCTGCCTTCTTTGGATTGAGTATATTTCAGCATTCTATTTTATTTCTTCTCTTGGATTTTTAGCTGTGCCTCTTATTTTTTTTATTAGTTGTTTTAGGAATTACAATATTTTTAAAATATCACAATACACCATGAATTTGTATTCTATCACTTCACCTGCAGTGTAAAACAAAATAAAACAAAACAAAACCCTTTGGAACCTAACGTTGAGGCTCAGCCCTGGGCAAAGAGAAACAGTCATCTGACTGAAAATGTGTGGGCTGGGAACCAGAAAGTCACTCAAAACGCATGCTTTGTAGGAGTGTCAGGGACCTCCAGGAACTTCTTAAAAAAAATGTTCTCTGAATATTTAGACAACCGGTAGATTCTGGTCTAGTCAGGATCCATTCGCTGTGACATTTTGCATTATCCAGAGGACAGACGGAAGTAAGCAAACCTCTTGTGGTTTTCATAGTCTAGTGGCCAGATTAGAATACTTGATGCCCATCATTATTGTTCTTCATTAGAACCAGAATGCCAGTGGGTGGGTGAAGGGGAAGTGGATAGGTGGTGGTCGGTGCGGAGTTTAGGGTAATTTTTCTCGTAACCATGCTTGTGACAAGCTTACTCCATTCACTGTTTTCATATAATTTGTCACTGAATTGACCTGTCTCAGGATTGTTCTGGGGGACTTGTTCAAATCAAGTTTTCTTCTGTCAGCCATTCCCACAGGTCTGCACGCGGGTTTACCCCTGGCTCAGAGAGAGATGGCGTTGTACAGATGGGATCACTGCAGGGGCCCGTCGAAGTCATATTCTCCTAGTTGGCTGAGATCTGGCGGTATGTACCTGTCGCACCCAGTACCTCATCACCTACCACACTACGGCCTGCGAAGCGCAGGTGTGCGCACCTCCTACCTGGCAGTGGCGCCGGGTGGGAGCGCGCTGGGTGCTCGACCCCCGCCCCCGGCTCCCGCCACGCCTCTTCAGCAGCCCATCCACCCACAGCCCTGATCCGGTAGAGACCCGGTGCAGGGTGCAGATCTCCGCCCCTTTTCCTCCACGAGCCCAGCGGCTGCCCTGGGGGGAGTCCCACAGCAGTGCTGCCCAGCAGTCCTTCGCAGAGCTGAGGTCGTCTAAGCCGGCAGGTGGCTCTCCGAGATCTCCCCAGAGAGCATCTTAGGCAGCCAGAGGAGAGCACGGCCAGGGCTTCTCCGTCGCCTGCTTACAGCGGATAGGCATAAGGCGTGCGCTGCCGGTCAGGATCTGCGGGGCTGTGGAGAGCGCACCCGGCAAAGGAGGGCGCAGCCAGGCCGCGGCCGGAGCGCGGAGGGAGGAGCGCCAGGAGGAAGAGGCCGAGCCGGGAGAGCCCCCGCCCCGGGAGGAAGGGGAGGAGGCCGGGTGTTTCCTGGCGCATTCCCGGCCCGCCCGAGTGACTCACTCAGCCAGGAAACTCCCAGAGCCTGACTGGGACCCCGGAGCCACCGCCGCCCCGACCCAGGTGAGGAAGGCTGCTGGCCCTGCCCAGCCCTGCAACTCCTGTGGGGTACGGGCGGACCCTGGAACCCAATCGGGCATTATGGCAAAGGGGCCGCACTCCGGCCCCGCGGGCGGCCAGGACTTGGTTCTCCGCGGCGCGGCCTCCCAGCCGGCGCGGCCTCCCGGGAATCGCCCCGGCCCCGGCACGCCAGTTTCCGAGCCTCCGAACCCCCAGTTGCAGCGCATCCCGGTCTGTGCGCGGGTGGACACCCTCACATTCCCTGCCCCAAAGCCTTTCGACCCTTGACCCCTGACCCCGCGCCCCCGGCCCCTGCTCCGGGCTTCCCGCATCCGTAGCCCCTGGCACGTGGCAGAGCTCCAGTGGGGAGGGTATGTATCTTGGTGTTTTGTAGTTATTGTTGGAAAGTAAGGCGCAGACAGCTTGGACTGATACCGTGCGACTAGACCCGAACCAGTTTTTGCTTCTTTGTGCCCATCTCTGAGGAAAGGAGGGAGACTCTGGCCAAGCGAAACCATTTTACAGATTCTTGGAGATGAGTTTTGGGCTTTGTTAAGGCGCCAGGATTGTTAACGTGGGCAGCGCTGTTCGCACAGCCATACTGAATTGTGTATTTTAAGCCTGAAATGCGTGCGTTTAGTTTGCAGCACGTTGTGGGTGTGAGAAAAATGGTGAGAGTAATTTGGAAATGGGGTTTAAGGAGTGTTTTTTAAGCTGGGAGTGGCGTCCAGACCATGTCCACTAGTGTTATGTCTGAACAGTACAGATAGCAATTGCTTATGAAACCCAGGGCTGGATGATCTGCGCTTCTGTGGGTAACTGAGACTTTGGAGTGTTTCTTTTCTGGTAGTAGAGGGTACTGTGTGCTGCATTGGACAGTTTTTGCTGCTTCTTGAGCCCAGGGGAATTTCTTGGCCTTTTTCTAATACTATTCCTTAAATGATTCGTGATTGAAGCAGCAGTGGTACCTGGTGCCATATATCAGATTGCTGTGCTTGACACTCCGTCACTAACTCAGAGTAGCTTAGAGATTGTGCCAGAAAATCTTCTCCAGGTTCAGCAGCCAGAGGCGGCAGTTTCTGATTGCTGTGCGCTGGGGTGCCTCTACCACTGAGAGTCCCACCTTTGCTGTTCCTTATCCCTTGAATGTCATAGTGGTTTTCCATGTGAAGTGTCAATGTGCAGGCACAAAGCTGAAAAGAAGTCACTATTATTTAAACTTGGACCACAGCAAGTATGCATTTGTAAGAATTCAGTAGGAATTTGGTGCTAATATTTTGATTCCCTGCTGCCTTCTTCCCCTGCAGCATCATCTCCGTGACAGAGGCAAACAGAATTATGGTGGAAAACATTTCCTGTGTTAACATGTATGTTCCTATGCTGATAGGTCGCTCAAAGAAAAATTTTCTGTTGTTTTTTTTGTATGTGTGTTTATTTGGACTTCTTTTTAAATTTACATGTAGTAAAGTTTGTTTTTCGGTGTATGATCACGAGTTTTGACAAATACACGGTCATAGGACTCCCATCACAATCAAGATACAGAACAGAAAAAAAAAAAAAAAGATACAGAACAGTTCTGTCACCCCCAAAATTCCTTCAGCTGTCTCTTTGTAAGCAGCCCCTCTCCACTTTCACAACTCTTGGCAACATCTGAGTTGTTTTCCACTCCTACATTTTGCTTTTTCCAGAATATGTGGCCTTTGAGTGTGGCTTAGTTTGTTTACCGTAAAGCATTTGAGATTAATCTATTTTCTAGTTTGTCCCTGAGGGTAAAGACTTAAAGTTTTGATAAGTATACATTTAGGATACAACCTGAGAGATTGAAATAATATATTTCTTTAAAGATTTATCTATTTCTTAGAAAGAGAGAGAGAGAGCAGGCCTTCCTATGTGAGTGGGGGTAGGAGAAGAGGGAGGAAATCTCAAGCCTACTCCCACCAACCCAGAGCCCCTGGTTGGCTGGATCCCACTACCGGAGATCACCGCCAGAGGGGAAACCAAGAGGCTGTCGATCCACTGACTGAGCCATCCAGGTGCCCCTCAAATAGTATTTTTAGGTCATGAGAAAAATTATAAAATGCCCATTTATTAAAAAATAGAAAAGCACAGAACCATGTATATTAAAAGTGAAATTCCTTCAGTACTTCTGTGGTACTATATAGCCTTTTCTGTGCATACATGTAGTTTTTAGTTTTTTGTGTGTCCTTTAGTAACATAATGAGATTATATTGCATATATCATCATACCTTTCCACCTAATGATTTTGGCTCATTTTAAGATCTTGGAGATCCTTTCGTGTTGGCATATGCGGTATGTATACACAGATTTTTCTTCACTCTTTTTTTTTTTTTTTTAAAGATTTTATTTATTTGAAAGAGAGTGAGCAAGAGAGCTCACATGTGCATGAGCAGGTGGAGGGGCAGAGGGAGAGGGAGAAGCAGACTCCCTACTGAGCAGGGATCCCAGGACCCAAGATCATGGTCTGAGCCGAAGGCAGATGCTCAATCCACTGAGCCACCCAGGCGCCCCTCCTTCATTCTTTTTAACGGTTGTATAGTGTTCCATGGTGTGGGTATATTTATTTAATCAGCCTCTTGTTATTTGACGTTGTTCTTTCATGTTTGTCACCACCATAGTCAGTGCTTTTGTTTATAGCTTTGTGTACATACTCAAGCCTACTATTCTGGAAGTGAGTTTGGGTTAAAATAATAGCTAACATTTCTTGAGCACCTATGCTCCAGCATTGTTCTAAGCCAGCGCTATTTTTCCTGTAAAGGTCCAGATGAAGAATATTTGTGCCTTTTGGGGCCATATGGTCTTTATTACAACTACCTCATTCTACTGTTGTAACATCAAAGCAGCATAGACAATATGTGATGAGAGCGTGGCTGTGTTTTAATAAAACTTTAGTTACAGAAACAGGCATTGTTGCTAATTCTTGTTCTAAGTACTTTACATACTAATTATTCTCACAACCATCAAAGGTAGGTGCAGTTATTGGGTGAGGAAATTGACAAAGAGAAATGGAGTATATGTCCAAGATTATATGCCTGATAAGTAGCAGAGCCAGACTTTGAATCCAATCACCTGACTCACATACTTCAGTTTAAAAATTAGAAAGAATCTGCCCAATATACCTTGGCCCAAATGTTATAATCTACGATCTGACCCTCACACACTTACTGAATCACCTGTGATTCTTTTAAGGCACGGTGCTTGCTCAGGTACCACTCCAGAAGCATTTGCCTCTCCACTCCCCTGTTGTTCTCACTCTGTGACTGTGTTCTGGCTTTTGGTTTGCGTTGCGCTAGCACTGCCTTACAGAGAGATCAGCTCAATGCCTAGAAGACAGAGACTTGAGCAGGTGAGATCAGATTGGGTCCTGGCAAGTCTTCTGCTTTGATTGTTGATTCTGTCTGCTCCAGTGTGATTATCTGAGGTCACATGGGCACATTTCTTGGCCTACCTTGACAACATTTTCCTTCTTTGGTAACATGGGAAAAGTACCTCTTAGATTCTCATGAAGATCAAATGAGACAATATAGGAAAATACTGTAGAAGGAACAGTTATTATTAGTGCTATGTTTTCTGAAGTTTCTATACTAGAAAAATGTATTTTATAAAGGTGAAGTATTAAGTAACCCGTTGAAGCTATTTTTATTGTTTTTGCTACTAAAATTTAACCGTCTCTTAGCAGTCATGGGATAGTATGGATTAATAACACCTACATAATTTAAGAATTTTATTTTAGCCACTTCAATAAGGACAGAGAAAAAAAAAGGCATGCAAGTTGGCAGGGGAAATGAAACTCTTATTTGCAGACAACGTGATAATCTACATAAAAATCCAAGGCATTTATGAAAATGCTATTAGGACTAGTAAGTGAGATTAGTAAGATCACAAAAACAAAGTCAACACGTCAGTCACTCTACATACTAGCAATGTATGATTAGAAGGCGAAACTTTAAAATACCATTTTCAGTAGCTTCAAAAAAATCAAATACTTAGATATAAATCTAAAACCACAGGATCTATGTTCTGAAAACGACAGAACGCTGATGAATGAAAACAAAGGTGATATAAATAAATAGAGAAGTCAGGGTTTGGAACACTCATCATAGTAAAGATGTCAGTTCTCTCCAAATTGATCTCTATATTTAACATAATTCTAATCAATATCTCAGCAAAGAGATATTTTTAAACTCCTTTTTGAGGTATAACGTACATAATTCAACTATTTGAGTCATGCAGGGATTTACGGTAGATTTACAGGGTTGTACAGCCATCACCATAACCAGTTTTAGAACGTACTTTTTAGCCCAGTAAGATTCCACATGACCCAAAAGGTAATCCCCATTTCTAACCCTACTAGCTAATCACTAATTTATTTTCTGTCTTCTGCCTTTTCTGACCATTTAACATAAAGGAAAGTATACAATTTGTAGTCTTTATGTGTGGCTTCTTTCACTGAAAATACCATTTTTGGAGTTCATTTCTGTTGTAGCATGTAATTCATTCCTTTTTGGTACATTATATTCCATTGTATGGATATATCACCTTTTCTTTATCCATTTGCCAGATGATGAACTATTGGTTGTTTTCACTTTTTTGCCTGTTAGGAACAATGCTGCTGTAAAGACCCATGTGCAAGTCTTTTTATGGATATATGTTTTATTTTCTTTTAGGTAGAAACCTAGTAGTGTTATTGCAGGGTCATAAGAAAATTTAATTTAAAAAATTCTTTTAAAGATTTACTTATTTACTTGAGAGAAAGAGAGAACACACGAGGCGGGGAAGGGCAGAGGGAGAGAGAGTCTCAAGCAGACCCTTTGCTGAATGCAGAGCCCTATGCTGGGCTTAATCTTGTGACCCATGAGATCAGGACCTGAGCTGAAATCAAGAGTTGAACACTCAACTGACTGAGCCACCCAGGTACCCCTATGTTTAATTTTTTTAAAAGAAACCTCAACAGGATGTTTTTATAAATAAAAGACAAGCTGGGGCACCTGGGTGGCTCAGTGGATTAAAGCCTCTGCCTTCGGCTCAGGTCATGGTCCCAGGGTCCTGGGATCAAGCCCCACATCAGGTTCTCTGCTCGGCGAGGAACCTGCTTCCTCCCCTCTCTCTCTGCCTGCCTCTCTGCCCACTTGTAATCTCTGTCAAGTAAATTAAAAAAAAAAAAAAAGCTGGTTTTACACTTTATATGAAGGGGGAAATAAACTAGAATAGCTTTAAAAATGTTTAAAAACAAAAATAAATTAGAGGACTCACTCTACCTGATTTTATTTTACTAAGAAAAATGTTAACATTTACCATATTAACCATTGCAAGTGTACAGTTTAGGAGAATTAAGTACATTTACATTGTTGTGCAACCATCACCACTATTCATCTCCAGAACTTTTTCATCATCCCAAACTGAAATTCTGGCCCATTAAAAAAAAATCTCCATTCGTGTATTTCCCCAGCACCTGGCAACTACCATTCTACTTTCTATGAACTTGACTATTAAAGCCATATATAAAAATGCAGTTGTACATTATTTGTCCTTTTGTTCCTGGCTTATTTCATTTGGTATGTCATTTGGTATGACCATTTGGTATGGTCATCCATTTGTATCATGTATCGGAATTTAATCCCTTTTTAAGGTCAAATAATATTCCATTGTATGTATATACTGTATTTTCTTTGTTCAGTCATCTGTTGATGGACATTTGGGTTGTTCCCACCTTTTGCTACTGTAGAATGCTACTATGAACATGGGTGTACAAATACCTCTTTCAGATGCTGTTTTCAATTCTTTTGGGTAGATACCCAGAAGTGGAATTGCTGGATCATATGGTAATGCTGTGTTTAGTTTTTGTTTTTTGTTTTTGTTTTAGGAATTGACATACTGTTTTCCACAGCAGCTGCACCAACATTCCCAACAATGTACAGGGGTTCCAATTTCTTCACATCCTTACCAACACTTTTTTCTGGTTTGTTGGTTTTTTTGGTTTTGATAAAGCCATCCTGATGGGTGTGAAATGGTATCTCATTCTGGGTTTGATTTGCATTTTCCTAATGATTAGTAATGTTGAGCATCTTTTCCTGTACATATTTGCCATTCATATATCTTTGGAGAAAGATATTCTGTTTGAAGTCCATTGTACACTTTTTAATCATGTTGTTTGTCTTTTTGCTGTTGAGTTAGAGGAATTCTTTATGTATTTTGGATACCAATCTCTCATCAAATATATGATTTGCAGATATTTTCTCCCATTCTGCAAGTTGTCTTTTCACTCATTGACATCATCCTTGGGTGGGTGTGCTCGTTTTTAATTTTCACGTCTAGTTTTTCTATGTTGCCGGTGTTTTGGTGACGTATT